TTTTTTTTTGAGTGCTCATAACAGAACTGGACCACCCATTTACGGAAGCAGAGACCAGTGACCCGAATGTGGAAGATGTTAGATTGCTGAGTATGCACAAGTAAGTTGATAAACTGTTATGCAAAAAATTTGTTGACAGTTGAGAGGCTTAATAGTTGGGAAGTGCAAATATGCAGAGCAACAAAGAGGGAAAGGTAACTACTTCTCAAAACATTTGTCCTTCATAAATCCCTTAGTCCCATGATAATGTAACACTAAAATTAAGGATTGACATTTTGAAAAGGAGTGAAATCTTGAAGTAGTTACAATCATGGGTAAACATACTAAGCCACTTGCAGTTTTGTGCCTAGAAAAACCCCTATATACAGAAAGATGAGAAATACAGTCAGCCTACTCTAAGTGTTAAAGATAAATTAGATCTACTGCCCATAGCAGCTGACTCACCTCTACAAACAAAGCCAGCTTTTTTGGGCAATTGACTAGATCCATGCTCATTATCAGATTGCCTTGGTCTCTTGCTGTACATATCAACGCATCTGAAACAATGGAATTTGGAAGGTAGTTCATCAGAGTTCTTGATCCCGGCACATCTAGTGTGGTGCCACACACCACACATATCACATGCCAACATCCTCTCACCATCATCATCCTTAGTACCGCACTTGCAATCAACTTTCCAATTCTCCACACCTCTCTCCATGCGGTATCGGAGGAGCCTGTGTTTTGATGAGCATCTCCCTTTAACCCGTATGACCCCATTTGTGCCAACTAGAAATTTCAGGGTAATGGAGTCATCTAGTGTGCCATAACCTAGGAGCTCCTCGACTTCAAACCTCTTGAACATTTCATACACTTCCTGAAAAGCCTTTGCAGCTTCGATTTTCAGGTCTGAAACAGTTGCATTCAATGGCAAAACCAACAGTTCAGGTGGAGGGCATGGGCCTTCTTTGGACTCATCCGAAAGCTCGACATGGCACCAGAGATTGATTGCAAAGGGGTTAACCGTACTGTACAGGTAATCTTTTATGAAATGCTTACAATCAAGTATCTTGGTGGCTGCATCAATCATTTTATCTTTTGTTGCCTGAGACCTAAACTCGGCCATGGTTTGTGGGTGCAATAAATTGTCATACAAATATCTTAAGTCACGTTTGATATGCTCCTCTGATGCATAATTTACATCTTGATTAGATAAGCGGTGCACATTGTTGACAGGTTCAAGCCTGAAGTTCATATCCGGAAAGAGAAGAGCAGTGGTTAAGACTATGCATATTGGAAACCACAACCAACCTGAACCGGAAAAAAGAAAGAAAAACATCTCTTGAAAGTTTGTTTACCTGTACTCAAAATCGTTTGAACTAGGATTACAACGGGAGCAGACTACTCGAGATTCATCATCCACCAACACCCCTCCAAAATGCTTGAGACAGTAATCAATCAGCTGTGGCGAGGCAGTTTTGCAAATAGACCTTTTGAGAGCCCACCGGGTAACCCAGCTGGCTTGGTTACCTCCTGCAGCTTTCATTATCTTAACCATTGCTTGCTGTACACGTTCCACATCACTCCTAGTCCAAGCACACAGTACATCCGAAGGCTTAGATGCAGACTTTGATCGGTTCTCACGAATCAGCTGTAGCAGAAAGGAGAAGAGATCTCTCACAGTCACAAGCTCTGAACACGAAAGCGACTGGTAGAAGCCAATAGTGGAGTGGAGCTGAGTTCTTGGCCTCCTCCCTTGAAACAAAAACTCAGAGAGGGGTATCGCAGATAAAGTATTCACAGCATTCTGGTAAGCTTCTCTAGTGAGAGCATAACTCCCAGATTTGAATTCATAATCCCACTCACTGTACCAAGAACACCCATTAGTCACCCCATGAAGCAGCCTGTAACCTAGCCCGTATTTCCTTGACACATCCATCACACTCGACTTCCGAACAGCAAGTGAAGAACATAGCCTGTCCCAAAAGTCCATAATGGCACGACCAGTCAAAAAACCAGAACCACCTTCTCTTCCGTTGAGAGACAAGAGATGGGCGTAGCCGTTGGAGTGGATAACTCCGTGAAGGAGGTGAGTGTTGTCGTCAAGCTGAGAGTAAATCCAGTCTTCAACGTCCAGAGCCAAGCTGCACCATTTGCAGTTGCTGCCTTCCGACAAGTTTTGTGTATTACCGCACCTAGAGCAAGCCTTTTGCAACCCAATGTTCAAGCTCTTACTGTCTCCTCCTGACCTTATGATGAAGTGGTACCTCTTTCTGCAAACTGGATGGCTACTCCAACCTTTAAAAGAAACAGACAGATTTTTCTTAGTATATGCTTTCAATCTTAAGCATGCACAATGTTAACAGGTTCATGCTTCTCAAATTTTTAATTTTTAATTTTTTAATGATAAAAAAGATTTAAACTTTGGGGAATCTGGAAGGACGTGGACTCACCAACGACTCTGCAGTGATCACAGTAAACGGATCTAGAGGATCTGGTTACATCCTCCTCCACAACGTCCAAGGAGACGATTCTAGAGGAGAGATCTGAACCGTCCATCGAATCTCCAGGCCTAAGCAGGATCTGCCACGTCATCAGGCTGGAGAAGAGCGTCGAGGATGGGAAAGTGACACGAGCGTGGCTCGCGAGGAAGGATCTCACCCCGTCGCGGAACGGCGGCAAGGTACCGTCGCCGCCGGCCACTTCATCCGCCGGAAAAGTGGAGAAATCGTAGAGATCGGCTGAGATTCTGTTGCTACGCCTAGCTCTTTTCGCTGCACGACCACCGTCCATCACCGCCATGACTGTAGAATCGTTTTCCGACACTGGCCAAACTTAAAACTAAATCCAGAAAACGCGAATCGATACA